CCCGCGGGCGCTCGCTCGCTGCTCGGCTCCTCTCCCTCGCTGTTCCTCTCCCTCTCCTGTTGCTCACACAGTGGTGCTTCAGTTTTAGCAGTGGAAAACAGGTATCCATTTATTTTTATTTTTTATTACCCAGAATAAGATGCTGATGCACTAAGCCACAGAGCTTAGCTCTTCCGCCACCACCTGTGTGGGGGGACAGGACAGGTGTCAGGGCACCGTGCACCTCCTGGACCCACGCGCTGCCGTGGAGGGGGACGAGGCCCCACTGGGGACACTTGCCTTCTAGTACTGGGACAGCCCTGTCACCCCGCCGTGCTGGTACGCCCGCTCTCCCTGGTACGTGGAGTCCTGTGATAGTGCCACGTCGATCTGTGATTTAAACTCATCCCCCAGGTAACTGTCCTGAAAGACAAGGCGGGGAGAGCATGGCCGAGGCGTCTGGCCCCGGACAACCAGCTTGGTTCCGTGGCACTGCTGTCCAGGACGGGGCAGGAGTGCGGGCTCACCTGGGACAGCTCAGGCTGGGAGAGGCCAGGCTGACTCATCTGCGAGGGCTGGCTCATGGAGATGTAGCCCTGTGTCAGCGCACCCTGCGAGAAGGGCTGCGATGCCACATCCTGGCTGGCTTGGCTGTTGGGGAGGGTGGTCTGGCTGGGCCCAGGGAGCCCGAAGCGGTTCTTCTGGCGCCCCCCACGACCAGTCTTGCTTTTCGGGGCACCCCGGCCTGAAAAAGAGCAGTCCAGTGACCCACAGTGGCCGGGGCAGCACAGCACGGCACGGGGCACGGGCCCAGGTATCAGTGAGGTGCGCTCACCCGCCGCTGGCCCGTTGGCCTGTCCAAAGTAGCCCGGCGGCGGCATGGGCGGCATGACCAGGTTGAAGGGGATGGGAATGTTCATGGCAGCCACGTGGCTGGGGCCGGCGCTGATCACACCGATCTGGTCGTGGGTCTGGAAGTACATGTTCGAGGGCCGGCCTGCGGGACAAGGCGGGTGGCAGGCATCAGCCCGTGGGGACTGCAACTAGGGACGCCGGTCCCGTCTGCGGCCGGCCTGGCCGACCCCAACACCACCCTCCTGGGGGTTCTGCTGAGAATCTCGGGCCCGACAGGATCCAAAGGCCTCGCATTTGCCAGCAAAGCCCCTTCAGTAGCAAGCTTCTCCACGCTCCATGGGGCCCTGCCAAAAAGTGAGCGAACACTGGGTGTCCCCACGGGGACAGAGACAGGCACATCCCACGCCAGGGCACGGCAGGGAGGACGGGTCCGGGGCAGGCCCAGGACACCTCAGCATCGCTCCCGTTGGGGACCCTGGGGCGTGTGGTCGTGAGTGAACACAACCCAGTGTGAGGCCCACGATGGCCAGCAGGCCCAGGAGGGAAAGCAGATGGCTGGGGCTGCTCTTCGGGCCTGAGCTGCAGCAGGGCCAGGGAGCCGAGGCAGATGTGCAGAGCTGGAAAGGCGCCAAGCCTGGCACCGCGGGGACCACGGGGACCAGCCCTCCAGTTCCCAGCAGGAGCCTGGCCGGGTGTGAACGCCGCCCCCAGCTCGGGACTCACCCTGGCTGCTGCGGTCATACACGGAGCCCGGGATGATGGCCTCTCGGGCGTCGTACATGGCAGTTGTCATGAAGCGGGCCCCCTGCGAAGTCGCGGGCAGGTGAGGAATGTGTCGTGTGAGCAGGAGAGCGCCTTCCCACGCCCGGGGGCCGGGCCCCCCCTCACCGGGTTGATGGTGTTGACCAGCTTGCGCGGCTTGCTGAACTGCATGAGGCTCTCGCGCAGGTTGTTGAGCGGCCCCTCCACCAGCACCTTCTGCTCCTTGTAGTAATTCAGCAGGTGGTTCCACAGCGGCTGCTTCGACAGCGCCTTCGGGTTGCCCACGATGATGACACCGTACCTGCAGGGGTGTGCGGTGCTCAGGCCTGGGGTTCAGACCGGGGGATGCAGGCCGGGCTCGCCCCGGGCCTTGGGCCGGGTACCGTACCTGCAGGGGTGTGCGGTGCTCAGGCCTGGGGTTCAGACCGGGGGATGCAGGCCGAGCTCGCCGCGTGCACCTTGCGCTGGGTGGGTGAGCTTGGGAGGGAAGCACTCGTGCTCGGGGACAGAGCCGCCACAGCTGTGCCTGTGGGCCACCTGACGGGACTGCCGCTGGGAATCGGGGGAACGGGGCCCTGAGCTGGGCCACGGCCCACTCCCTGCCGTACTCTTGAGGGGACAGCTGCTGTCTGCCCACACGGGGGCCACTTCCCTCTCGGGGTCCCTCTTACTGTCAGCAGGACCTGGGCCATCAGCCTCCCTCAGATGACGCCAACGCCCTCTGCTGAGGGCCCGACAGGCGCCCGGTGCCAGCCTACCTAGCTCTGGTCAGGGCCACATTCAGACGCCGGGGGTCGTTCAGAAAGCCGATTCCTTGGTGCTCGTTGGCCCGCACGCAGGACAGGATGATGAAGTCCTTCTCGCGTCCCTGGAAGGCATCCACACTGGCAATCTCCACCTCCTGGAAAGGGCAGCAGTGATCATCAGGGAAGGCTGCCCTCAGCAGATGACGCTGGGCCACCTGCACGTGGCACTCCTGTTGTGCGGTGCCCACTGGTGGCAGATGAGGGATCCATAGCCAGCCGCACACAGTACCCGGGTTCCTCCCCATCCCCGTGATCAAGGATACACACTCAAGTCTGAAAAATGGAAACCACGCCCACAGCCACTCTCAGCCACGGCACATGGGCCCTCTGGGGTCATGCTGTGCCAATTCAGTGCCACCAACTCCTCTGTGCTCCTAACTCTCTGCAAACCGGTCCTGAAAACACCCCAAGGAACCCTGCTTTCCTCTGGCCCTGGACCGAGGAGCCTGGGCTGCCTCACCCCGAGGGCAGGACTGTAGGGTGCCACCCTGCACCCAGCTGGCAGAGCTGCTCCTGTGCACCCTCTGGCGGGCCGCTGCGTGCCCACCTGGTAGAGCTTGGTGTGCAGGGAGCCACTGAACTGCATGTACTGCACCAGGTAGGAGCGCTGGCCCTCGTAGGGCGTGATGATGCCAATCTGGTCAGGCTTGGCGCCAGCCTTCAGCAGCTTGGTGGTGATTTTCTCCACGTTGGCAGCTTCCGTCCTGGGAACGCGGAGCAGGGCGTGAGGGCCCATGGGGGGCCGCATGACAGCCCAGGTCGGGCTGGCGGTGCCCACCACACCCAGGATGTCCTCTTGTCCTTCACTGGGGAGTCACGAGACAGGCGCGGGCTCTGCTCACCGGTTCAGGTAGGACGTGCCCGAGCTGGCGATCTCCTCCTGGCCCTGGGTCACGTAGAAGAACATGGGCTTGTCGGGCTGGGGCCACTGGAAGTCGAAACCCTTCTTCACACGGTCGGCTGCCAGGAGGAAAGGGCACCGCGTCACCTCGAGTCGGCACTTCCAGGGAGCTCCACGCAGGGGACACCCTCCGATGCCCAGCGCCGAGCAGGGCCGTGCAGGGCGGGCAGAGACAGCTCTCTTGACCGTCGGGCCCGGAAGCTGCTCGCTGCAGCATGGGCTACAACACCCCTGGCAGGCTCCAGAATGATCCTGGAGTGCTGCTCTCAGGAGGACTTCATGCTCTTGAAAAGCTGAGGAGCCTCTATATTACTATATTTCAAAACTCAAAACTTCAAAACTCAAAAATGAACCCAGCCAAGAACTGTTCCAGCCCTGGAAGGCTGAGGCAGGAGGGTCACAGGTTCAAGGCTAGTCTGGGCAATTTAGCTAGGAACCAGTGAGACCCTGTCTTGAAGAAAAAAGGGCTGGAGATGTAGCTCGGTGCTATGGCAGGGGCCTCAATCCCCAGTGCTGTACACAGGCACAAAACTTACTACAATTTCTTATGAAAAACCACCAGGCCCCAAGAAGAGGACTGAGAAGTGGGGCCCTGGCATGGCCTGGCAGGTCAGAGCTCTGAGGGCCCTGCTTGTGCCCACCTTGCAGACACAGGCAGGTGGGACAGCTGTGACGCTCATGTTGGGCATGCAGGGTGTCACGCCCTGCGCCCCACACAGCTTCCACTGGTGACCGCTTCCCCACCAACAGCAAGACGAGCCCCTGTCACCGCCGTGGGCTGCAACGCCTACGCCCAGGCACCGAGCTTCCCGTCAGTGTCACCTTCACCCTTGAACCTTCCGGCCTCTCTCTGCTCTGTCTATGGCTCTCACACTAAGGCGCGCTCTTCCTGCCTCAGCCTTCCCAGTCCCAAGTCCCCGAACAATAGGCCCGAGCACAGACAGCCCTGGTAGTTTCTGGAGGCCAGGTGCCAGGTGTCGCAAAGTGGGAAAGCAGCGTGTGTGTCTGTGTCGGGTGCCTCCCAGGAGATGAGGATGATACGCTGGGGCCAGGCCAGCCCTCCTGGCTCTTCCCGGGCATTTCTAACAGTGCACGGTCCCAGCCGCGGAAGGTGAGCAGGGTGGGGTGAGGGTGTCACTATGGGACCTGCAGCCTCGGGCTAGCGTGCCAAGACCGTGCTAGCAGCTGAGGCCCGGCCCGGCCCGCCCACCGAGCCTGTCACCTGCAGTGACGCCATTCTGCAGCGAGCCCTCGTAGAAGATGTTGGACGGGAAGGCGCTGAGCGCGGGGTGCATGCGGTACTGGACCTGCAGGCGAATGGGGCGGATGCCCAGCACCACCAGGCGCTCAAACAGCGACTGTGACAGCCCGGCCTTGGCCGCCTTCTTGCACATCACCACTGGACCCAGCTGGCAGTGGTCGCCCACAAGGATCAGCTGCGGGAGAGGCCACACGTGTTGGGAACCCCGAGACCAAACAGCCCCGCGCCAAGGCAGGGTCCACGCACACACCCGAGCGGCTGGCCCACCTGCTTGGCCCCGAGGACCACGGGAACCATGCACTCAGGCTCTGTGGCCTGGGTGCTCTCGTCGATCAGGATGGAGCGGAACTGCATCTTAGCCAGCCGCGGGTCACCGGCACCCACACAGGTGCAGCAGATGACGTCGGCGTTCTGAGGGGGACAGAGGTGTCAGGCACCACACAGCCAGGGTCCCCAGGTCCCTTCCACACCTCCCTGATGCGGCTGAACAGGCCGTCCTCCCGCACAGTTGCCTAGGGTCAGGAGGCAGTGGCCGGGGCTTTCAGGGCTGCACTCGGGCAGCGTGGGGTCTCCGCACAGTGTGGCCCTGCACCTTGCTGCTTGTGCAGACTCTGGGGCAGCGCCAAGCTGGCAAACCTGCACGAGACCGGAGGCCCCACCCTGGCAGGACAGACCCTTCCAGGCACAACAACCACTGCCGAGGGCCTGGCAGCAGCAGATGCTGCCTGGGAGACCTGGGCGCCCGACCGCCCCCAGGGCCCAGGAAGGCGGCGCAGACTGGGGCTCACCATGAGCAGCTCCCGCTCTGCCGTGCGCTTGAGGGCCCGGTACCGCTTCTCATCGGCAGACGACAGCTCCCCGGTCTCGTCCTTCAGCTGCTGCAGCTTCTGCAGCTCCGGCATGCTGCAGGTACACTCGAGTGAGCCCCAGGCAGCAGCCTGGCCCAGCTGTGTGCCCAGGGCACCCGGCAGCTGCGCCCACCTGTCCATGTTCCTGATCTGGTTGTGCAGGGCCAGGAAGGACACCGGGGAGTCGATGGCCTCACGGCTCTTGGCACAGAGGCGCACGACTTTCAGCCCTGTCTGGTGGATCTTCTCCGTCAGCTGATCCACGGCAATATTGCTAGGGGCACAGACAAGCACGGGCCTGCAAGGAGACAGGCGTCTCAGCATCTGTGCAGAGCCGCCTGACAAAGGCTGGTGGGTGCTGAGGAGCACGGATGAGCCACAAGCCCAGCTTCCGGTCTTCTCCGGGCCCGGTTCCCCCCACATGCTCACCCTCCTGTCCACGCAATGGGGACAGTTCTGAGACGCACACAGGTGGAACAGAATGCAGGCCACACTGACCAGGCTCCACAGCGAGGGCAGCAGGCCTGGCTGTCCCATGGCCAAGTTGAACGCTGGGTGGCACCAGGTCCCTCACAGCCTGGTGACGCCATCATGCGCTTGCCAAACCCACTGTGACCCGCCTCACTCGGGGCCCGCTTACCCGTTGCCCTGCCGAGCCAGGTGGTAGACGATGGTGGCGGACGTGACGGTCTTCCCTGTGCCGGGCGGGCCCTGGATGAGGCTGAGCGGCCGCTGCAGCACGGTCTTCACGGCGTACACCTGCGAGTGATTGAGGTCGGGGAGCCCCTGCGCCGTGAAGCGCTTCGGCAGCTGGCACTTGATGATGACGTCCTCCACCTCGTGGCCCAGCAGCTTGTGGTAGATGTAGCCAGACACCGAGGTCTCGTCCACCGCGAAGGTCTTCAGCGCACTCTGCATCCTGGAGGGAAAGCCCCGGGTGAGGACTGCAGCACGGCCGGCCCCGACCTGATGGCAGGGGTGGCTGCGGTGGACGCAGGGGCGGCGGAGGGCGGAGGCACCTGTCAAACGAGGTCGACTTCCACACGAAGTCCACCTGGAAGTTGTGCGTCACCTCCACGGGGGCACCCACGCTGCTGCGGAGCTCAATGGCGATCTCATCACCGTAATCTGGGCGCTGAGTTAAGTTTGCTTCTTCGTTCAAAGCCGACTCGCCCTTTCCCGGCAGCCCACGTCTGTCTGCTGCCTCCTGCCCACCCCAGGCACCTCGCACACCTGGCTGCCGTTCCCCAGGGCGGAGGGCCCGCCCGGCCTGTGCAGAGGATACTGTCAGGGACCTTGATGACGTGGCCGATGCCCTTCCACAGGGGCGCCAGGTCGCCCTTGTAGCGCAGGCAGATCTCGTCGCCCTGCATGAGCCGCATGTCTGTGAGGAGAGCAGGCGGGTGAGCCCCTACCCCGGCTGCGCTGCACCGCGGACGCAAGCGAGGGACACTGTACAAGGGCAAGCTAAGAATCTTATGCTACTATGGTCACAAGTATTTTAAAACTTAAAATCACCTCTTAACCAAATTATGACTAAATCCTCATTACCAGAGTCAGTCTTGGGCAAAGTGAAGTAGGCGATTCTCTTCTTGTTAAGGCCCAGGTCCCACCTGACCGTGATGTTATCTTGCGTCTGAACACACAGAAAACAAGAGCCCCGTTAGCCGAAGGCTGGCGGCCGTGCAGCAGGACCTGGGCGACAGCCCGCCTCCCGGAGCACATCCCGGCCACAGCTGGCAGCAAGTGTGGCCTGCACAGGGCTTCACCGCAGGACACGAGGGTGCCTGCAGGGAGAAGTGTCGGTGGCCGCCCAGGCCCTGGCACAAGGGCTGGCTCTCAGGCTGTGGATGGAGCCATGAAGCGGACTGCGAGCAACTCCTGCAGACTCCGAAACGACACGCGCTGCTCGGCACTGGCTCCAGTGGGCGGCCAGCCCTTAGCCTAGGAGAGCCACAGTGTGAGGAGGCATCCACGTCACCTGCGACTCCTTCAGCTTCTTGTCGTAGTCAGCCTCCAGCTTGACCAGGGGGCCGAAGATGTTCTGGTACTGGTAGGCGTCTTCGTAGCGCAGCAGCACGTGCTGCGGCTCCTCGTCTACCCCGGGCTTCTCCAGGTCCTCCAGGGTGGCCGAAGGGTTTTCCTGAGAAGAGCAGCACCAAGCTCGGCCCGTTTCTACACGCGTGCAAGAAGTGAGGGCCTGGCAGGGATCAGGTGGACGGAGCGCAAAGCCCCAGGGTCGGGGCAGAGCCCCCTGCTGGCTAGTGACGACCACCCCACAAGGTGCAGGGCCAGCCCTGGTGACCGCAGGGAGCTGGATGCCAGCCTAAAATCAGGCCCACCAGCGTCCCTGCACCGTGGTGACGGCCCCAGCACCTGGGTGAAGCCTACACAGCACAGGGTGTAGCCAGGCAGCTGCGGCAGGGGCTCCCCCAGCCCAGCGCTGTGTCGGCTGCCTGAGCTGGCCCGACACCCTGCTTGTCCCCACTTCCCGGGAAGTGATGCACCAGAAGATGGGACGGTGTCCAGGAGCAGGGAGGTAACCTGGGCAACCGCAAATGCCCTTGGACCAGGACAGACAGATAGTGCCTGAAAACACGGAGTCTGCGCCCAGTACAATTCGGATCCTGACTGAGATTCTGTTTGCCTCCCGGGACCCTCTTCTTTCTCCCTGTTTGCCCGCGATATCTCGCCCCACCTCCTTCCTACAGGGCCCCGATTTGTTCCCTCGGCCTCCATCTGTGGTGCTGGGATGGAACCAGGGCCTGGTGCATGCAGGCAAGCGCTCTGCCACTGAGCTGCAACCACAGTCCCGTTTGTAACCTTACTGAGATATGATCTTACCAAGCTGAACTTGGGATCCTTCTGCCTCAGTCTCTTGAGTAGCCGGGATCACAGGTTCACGCCACCATGAGCAGTGTTCCCTGGGTGTTCCCCTCACACCCGTGGGCTTGCCTGACCGCTGCGTGTCCGCCACTGGACTGTGCCCAAACTTCGCTCTTAGCCCGCACCCTCTCCCAGCAAGAAAACAAAGACTGTGACAGCACAGCCCTGCTGGCCAAGGCCAGGGTCCCAGCAGGGGGTGCTGCCACCTCACCTTCCAGAGCTCCTCCAGCTTGTTGATCTGCTGGGCTGTAATCTGCCGCGCCCGCAGCTGCTCCTGCTCTGAGGGGATCTTGACGAGCCAGGACAGGAAGCAGCGGTCCTGGATCAGGGGCTGCCACTGCGAGCTGTCCCAGTTGATGTCCTTGAGGCTGCTCTGACTGGCACAGGGCTGCCTGCGGAGGCCGAGGGCAGGAGCCCATGAGGACTGTGCCTGCCCCGCAGCGGCCCTGTGCCTGGAGGGGCCATCCCCACACTTGACTAGACGACTGCATTACCTTCACTTGTCACGATACATCGCATCTCCCCACGAAACTGAGCTCTCAAATTTTTTTTTTTTTTGGTACGGGGGATCAAACTTGGGACTGCATTCTGCATTTGCAAAGCAGGCAGCAGAACCACTGAGCTAAACCCCGGCAGGGCTCTCAACTCTTTCTTGTGGGACTGCATTCTGCATTTGCAAAGCAGGCAGCAGAACCACTGAGCTAAACCCCGGCAGGGCTCTCAACTCTTAAAACTCAAAAGAGACTTCGTTTTCAGGGAGTCCTTTTTATGATTTCACCAGAATACACCCCAACGTCATTCCCTGACACCGAGCAGCCTCAGCCCGCACACCCAGCTCCGGCCAGGGCCTCACCTGCACAGCAGGACCACAACAGAGTCAGCTTTGGCGGGGATGAAGCCCAGGAGGAAGACGTTGCGGCAGCCGCAGTTGTAGCACTCCAGGACCGTCTCCCCCAGCGGCCCGTCCTTGTGCAGGGTCACCTCTTTGCATTTGGCCCTCACGAGGTGATTTACAATGTGGCTGAAACCAGGAAATGATAAAGAGTTAACACCGAAGTTTGGCTTTTCACCACTTCCAGTCTTCGGCAGTTGAGTTCCGGTACCATTCACGGTCCATTAGCAGCGGCGGTCACACCTCATCCATCTGGCGTCCCCAAGGAGCGGCCCTGCCTCACCGGCTCCCCGCTGGGTGGAACCCAACCCAACTCCAGCCACTAGGAAGGAAGGCTGCTCGGCGAGGCTCACATGGTTCCTGTGGGTGTCTCCCCCAGTTCCTGCCTTCTGAAATCCAACCTATCGGGCTGCACTTAACCTGTGGCCCCGGCCAAGGCTGTGTTGGGACCATGAGGTTCCCGCCAAGAGGCCCCGTCCTCCTCTCACTACAGTCTTCTGCTGCCGCTTTCCAAATCTTTCGCAGTCACTTCTTCATGGCCCCAGTGTTTACTTCCAGGAGTAACAGCCCCCATTCACTTCAGGACAGGAAACCTGACAACCGAACCCGTTAGAAACCGGAGCCCGGTACAGACCAAGGGGTTCCGGGCTTCACCGCAGACACCCTTTGGGCTGCTGGCTCCTTCTTCACTGCCTGGGGATGTGGCCAGGACACAGCTCACCCTGCACCGAGGCCACACTTGGGAAGTCCTGTAGGCCACCCCTGGGCCTCCTTGTAGCGCCTCCTTTCTGCTTGGAAACCCCTGCCCTCACAAGCTCTGACTCCAGGGCCCCACGGAGCCCTCTGCGCCCTGACCAGGGAGGGCTGCGCCCAGCACTGCAGCGCCGCCTCTCCCTGGAGGCCCTCTTCACTTCCCTGTTCTTGGCTGTACTGACCGGACGCCAGGGTTGCCAGCTAAGAGGAGTGTGACTTAACTGCTTTCCCTACACGAGAGGAAATCGTGCCAACAAAGCAACATTTAAATCATCCAGAATATTCTGAACAGGCACTGGAGGCTCGGTTACTGTTCAAGACATCGGTCCCCTCTTTGCCTGCTGGGATGACACGAGGCTGACCCTCTCTGGCCGCATCCCTCTGTGGGCAGAGGAGGCCTGGGGCTCTGTACAAATGTGCCTACTATGCTGTTTTTGTCACTTTCTCTCCTCAGACTATTCCGCTGCCTTGCTGGCCATGGGGTGCCCGGGACCTGCAGCCCCTGTTCCACCAATGCAGCCTGGGAGTGGGCCCTCCCATGGCCCTGCAGCCCAGAGGGTCTCGCGGGGCAGCGGGGTCAGGTCCCGGAAGACGCAGTGACCCCACCACAGCCGCTGCCGACCAGCAGTCGGAAGGGAGGCCCTGCACCAACGAGCGTCAGGCAAACCTAACGTAAGCGTAAGGCTCAGGACCCCGGTGCCGGGACACCCTGGGGACAGCCGGGCAAGCCCACGGACCGGGATGGGACCGGCGTGCCACACTCATCTCGCAGGGACGAGTAAACACTGGAAGAAGAATTAAGCCAAGCCTCCTTGCACGATAAAAGAACCACAGAGAATAAATCAAGGGTAAATACATTAAGGCATTCACACACCACCATCTGTTTCAAGTTAAACCAGTCACAGGGAAGAAAAAACCCAGGTTTGTTAGCATGATTTTCTATTGCGCTTCACTTCAACATTTCCATAATTTACACACAAGTCCGAGCACACACTGATTAAAGACACATGCACGCTTGATTGTCTACCTGCCAGAAGTATTTCCACGGCCGTTGCAGAACCACTTCTTGCTGGTGTTACAGTAAACCACGCAGGCAGGATCGTGTATTCCACAGTAACTAAAAAGTCCAAACATCAACAGTTAAAGCTGGAAGATTGCTCTCTGGTTTTAATTTGGCAGAATGTAAAATTCCTTCCTCTTACAACATTTTTAAGTTTTTCATTAAACACATACTCAAACCCAACAACCCCAGTCACAGAGTCACGCGGGCTAACTGCGCATGCACGCGCCTCCTAACCCAAGAAGCCCGGGTGCTGGGTGGAGCACCAGCCCGGCCCAGAAGAGTCACACCCCAAGGCGATTCCAGTCCCTTGCCAGCCCCAAGCTTCAGGCAAGGGCCTCCAGCAGCAAGGCCGCTCGCAGAGCTGGTCTCCAGCAGAGGGCGCCATGCTCCAGGGAACAGAGTGAAGGCCCTCAGGCTAGGAGCACCTCCAGAGGGGTTTTCTGAAAATGGATAAGATGGTGCAAACACTGGCTCTCCAACAGCTCTGCTCGGGTAGAAGCCAAGACTGTCTGCACTAGAACACACTCGGGCTAGGACCCCCAGCTCGCATCCCCACCCCAAGAGGGAGAGGGAGGAACCCCTCACTGTGCAGCAGAGCCCCACCCCACCCGAGCTCCCTGGGCAATTTCTCAGCATCTCTCTGCGCGCAGCAGAAACACTGCCACACAGGAGAAAACACTCGCCAACCACAGCACGAACACAGAGCTCACAGACGACAAGTCGCCCAGAAAGCAGGGGAAGAGCGGTCATCTACCCCGGAGAGCCGGCCAGCAAGCAGCCAGACGGGACAGCCCGGGGGACACATCACAAGGGCTGCGTGCCTCGGCCGGGCACCCTCGCCAAGCTGGGCCCCCGGTTGCCCCACTGGCCAGGTGCCCTGAGCAAAATGCTTTCATCTCTTTTGGCCTCAATTCCTTCGTGTGAGAGGAATAAAAAAGCCCAAAGGAGCCCAGATGGAAGGAGTAGAAGGGGCGAGGTCCAAATTTGGTCAACACGCGGGTCTGTGCAGGACGGGCCCCGCCGCCCCAGAGGAAGCGCCTCCCGCATCTCTGGCCACCCCGCTGCCCGGCCCAGGCCCCAGCGGCCGTGAGCAGAGCGCCTCTCCAGCCCAGGGGAAGTGCACCCGGCCGGGTGAACCAAGGGTGTCAGAGGGTGCGGAGCCCAGCAACAGGGACACAGCGGGCAATTTTCCCGCATCTAAGCCAGAGCGAGGGCGCTGCCCACGTGTGGCAGGGGCTGGCCCCACCCGCCCACCTGCATGCGTGGATGGGGAGGTCCTTCGTGTAGTAGGTGTCTTCTTCGTCTTCTTCGAAGTTCAGCTCGGCCAGCAGCTGGCTGGTCTTGGCCACGCTGTCATCCACCGCGCCATTCTGCAGGATGCCCTCAGGGCCAACCTGGGGGGAAGCAGTGTCACCTGCAGGGGCCCAGGCACATGGCCTCCCCAGCACATCCCACGCAGCAGCCTCCTGTGATGGCGGGGACCCCGCCCCACTACTGTACACTGGGTCTGGGCCCCCAGCCCGAGGCCCACGACAGGGTGATGAGGGAAATGCTCGCTTCCTGGCCTGCGGGCCAAAGCAGCACGGCAATTTTTAATAAGCCCACATCAGCACCCCAGTGGCACCACCTGCAGCCACCAACACTCCGGGCACGAGCCTCACACACAGCAGTGGGAGGTGGCACAAAGGACCATGTACAGAGCCCTGCGAGTGTGCAAGACACCAGCACAGAGCACACCACCCGGGACACACGGCCCCACTGGGCGGGGAAGCAGGGGCCACGGCCTCACACTCCGCAGCCAGCAGCTCGCGCCATCACAGGTGACGAGTAACACAGCAGAGACACAAGGTACAGGGCAGGCAGCAGGGCCCATGTGCTGGACCCTCCGCCCTGCCTGCCCTGACTGTCCCGCTGCTGGGAGACCCCAGGGCCAGGGCTTCTCCAGGGCTCTGCAGCTGCTGGGGCACGAGGGCTGGTGGGAGTCCCGTCTGCACCGTGCCCAGCCCATACCGAAACACCCACTGTGGCCTGGCATCGCTTTAACACACTTTTCTTAGGGGGTGGCTGCTGGGTTAACTGCACTCTTCAATGAAAATATTTTCTTTTCCAGAGGGAAGACCAAAATCAACGTTTGGATCTCTTTTTTCAGTACCAGGGATTGATTCAATCCAGGGTCCTATGAGCTATACCCTTAACCCTTTGTATTTTAGGACAGGGTCTCAGAGCGGTTCGGGCTGGCCTTGAACTTAGAACCCCCTTGCCTCAGCCTCCGAGGAGCTAGGATTACAGACGTGCACCTCCACACTGGGGCATCCTAATCATTCCTGCATTTCAGGGGCATTTTCCCACATCTCCAGAACTGTCTCACACTGCAAAGCTGAAACTGCCCCCACCGACCTACTCTCCCCAGCCCTGCCCACCGCCCATCCTCTGGACCTGCTCCACGTGGGGTCACACAGCCCTGTGCTGCTTGCTGAGTGGTGTCCACACCACAGGTGTTTGAAATGCCTGCAGGCCAGGCACTGCTCTGCCAGGTCTCCGCTACCTGCGACAGTGCAGGGCTCTGTGGGGACACCTCCCGCTGTGCATCCCAGTCCTCCCTGAGACACGGGTCCTCAGGGGCCTCTCAAGCTGTCCCAGTAGACAGAGGTTCCTGTGGTCCCTGCTGCCTGAGCAGGGCAGTCAGTCGCCAGTCTGAGGCCAGCTCCACGGTGAGGCCTGCAGCGTGTGCAGGCCCTGTCACTGATGCCCCATCACCCTCGGACCAGCGCTGACGGCCCCTCCCAAACCCTCCCGAACAGGCCATGTGCTCCCGAGAGGCGCTGCCCCGGCCTTCGCCTCCTCCAAGCGCGCAGACCGGCTCAGCAGTGTGCACCTGGCTGAGGTACCGCACGGCAGCAGGAATGAGTTCAGCCTGAGCAGGGAGCAGCCTGCGGCCACCCTGCCACACCAGCTTGGAGTGGGCTCTGCATCCCACAGCCGCCATCACTTCCTGTCCCCCAGTGTCTAGCATGCTTCTGTTGGGGACAGTCCCACTTCTGGGCGGGCACCCTCCACGCGGCCGTGCTCGGGGTCTGAGGAGGGAGAAACAGCCTTGGTGGCACCTGGAGCACCAGGGGCCCGGAGGTGGAGCGAGACAGCCGAGAGCCCTGGGCTCCTTCTGCCCAGAGGTGCACGGGCTGGAAATCTGAGCAGAGGACGGGCTGCTGGCATGACACCAACAGGAAACCCCATCTGCTCTGGGGCTTCGGGAGACAGCACCACAGGGACAGAGGGATGTGAAGTCAGGTGCTCTCTCTCAGGGCTGCAGAGAAGATTCCTAACCTCAGGCCCGGTGGGGACTCTGCACATGCGCACACCCTGCAGCTGGGATCTGGCCACACTGCCAGTGACTTTTTTTTTTTTTTTTTTTTTTTTTTTTTTTTTTTTTTTTTTTTTTTTTTTTTTGAGACAAGATCTCACTGTGTAGCCCTGGCTGGCCTCGAACTCACAGTGACCCTTCCTGCCTCAGCCTCCTGAGTGCACCATCATGCCTGGCTATGAGCTGACTTCTATAGCTGGACTATTAGCCCTCCCTCCACTCTTGACAGGCTGGCCCCGAAATAAGAGCACTAAGTAAGTTTAAAGAGCACTAAGGGAAAGTACTCTGCACAGAGGAGGTCGCTGACCCAGGCCAGCTGACCAGAAGGTGAAGAGAGGCAGCAGGGCCTTCTGCAGCCACCTGCCTTGACCCAACCAGACCAGACCTGGCCAGACCCTAATGGAGCCCAGGAACCAGTCTGCATGCCCTCTGCTCCAGACACAGCCTGAGAGCAACAAGTCCTGCTGTGCAGCCCACAAGGGCCAGGCCAGGTGGCTAAGTCCGCAGTCCAGCTCCAACAGAAACTGCAAGGTCCACCTAGGCCCTCGAGTTGCTGAAGGCCTGGAGGAGCGTCCTGCCAGACAGTGACTTTCGGACACTGCCAAACACTATTGAATCCAGCCATGTGTGAGTGCGGCATGGAGAGGAATCACTTCATTCCCACAGAGGAGGGGGGGCGGTCAGCCTCAACTGTGTAGGGAGGCCCTGTCTCAAAGAAAAAAGCAAACAAACAAAAAAAACTACCCACTCCGACAAAGGAAAAGCACAAAATGCAAAAATCACCCCTGAATGTGCTGGTATAAACTCTCAGGCCACAGACTCCTGCAACCTCATACACACTGCAATGCTCAGCCTCAGCCTGTGCCAGCGCCCCAGGACCTTTGCACTTGCTGCCCCGTGGCCTCAGCCTGGCTGGCCTGATGTCCACCAAGCTCTTGGTCCACAGAACACATCCCAGGCAGGCCCTCCCCATCCTGCTCTCTGCTGTCAGCCAGGAGACTCCACCAGTGTTGACTACATAAATGTGTCTCCTCTCCTAAAACCCAAGGCTGAGATGCAGTGACTCACCGTGTATTCTCCAGCGTGGGACTGAACTGCAAGCATGGGGGCCGCACACAATCCTGGCGCTTCCCCAGCTCTTTATTCTGGAAAACCCCGACCCTGCACACACCTTCACCTAATGGCGGCACCGCTGTCCAACTGCTCTGCTCCTCCTCCCAGCCCCAGGTCACCCGGGACGGGACGCACAGCCTCTTCAGGACCTCCACGTCTCACTGACACAAGCACTTCCCGGCTCCCTGATCATGTCCTTAGAGATCTCACACGAGCCTCCTCACCTCATCTGTGAACCACAGGGATGCCCTGGGCTCTGCCTGTTATCAAACTACAGAAGAGGCGACTTCATACTTCCTGCCCAACAGAGTGGTCCCTGACTGAGTTCTGCCTGCCACATTACTTCTACACAAAAGCAGCTCACCCATCAGCTGTGTGGAACCACGGCCCCACTCTGTGCACGCTCTGAGCCTGCCCTGCAGCTCCTAGCAACCTCTCACGGCCCTGGGACCAGCCACTCCAAGACGAAGCCACCTCAGCTGCAGGGCTGCAGGGCTGCAGGGCAGGCCTCGGTCCTGAGGAAGGCTTCTCCCAGCACTGCTCAGAACAGACCCCACTCCGCAGCATGAGAGGACGGGGGAGGGGCTGCTGTGGAAGGGGACCCAGGGACACAGGGGTGCCTGCCACATTGGACCCCTGTGGGCCCCACATACGGATGACCCCCAGAGATCACCACTGAGGATGCCCGTCTGACAGCAGTGCCCCCAAGGAGGGAACACGCTCTTTTACTTCTAGAATGTGAGCTGTACACTGCAGGGCAAAAGCACTGAGTATCGCTACTTCAGCTACTTCAGGAGGTCTGACCTGGAGGGCAGGGTGCAAGACACACAGAGCCTGCTTTCAAAACCCATCACCAAACCTGGCATGCTGGCCCACATCTGGGACCTCAGCACTCTGGGAGGCTGAGGAAGGAGGACACCAAGCTCAAGCCTAGCCTGGAAAACTTAGCAAGACCTTGTCTCTGAATAAATGATTAAATAAAAATGCCTGGAGATGTAGCTCTGTGCAAAGGACCTGGGTTCAATCCTCAGTTCCATCCCTGGTACAAGAAAGAAATGAGGGCGTAGAGGAGAGGAAAAGAGAAAGAAGGAAAGAAAAGAAAGCAAGTAAAACCAGAGGAGAGAAACACCTTCACAACTGCTACATGGAAAAGACCAACCTACAGGGTTTGTGCGTTCTGCGTTAGAGAGCTCATCCTCAGTGTTTTCACAGGAGGAGGCGGTGGCGGCACAAGGCCCAGGATCTGTGTCACTCTGCGGATTCATATTCTCAAAAGGAAGCAGCAGCGCAGTAGAGCAGAGTGGCTCTGAGCCGAGGGCCAGGGTCCTTGTCCCCGGCCGCTGAGGTCCAGTGCTCTGCACTCTGTACTGCTGATGTGGAAGGACGGGCCGCCCTGGCCTAGGTGATGTGAGTCACTTGCCTGTCAATGCAGCAGCTGGGCAACAGGCAGGGGTCCTGAAGGCCGGCCTGGTCCCCAGCTCCCAAGCCGCTGTATGACCGACACACACAGAAAGGCACCGTCTGCTGCCAGCCAGCAACGTGATCTCAGGACCCAGCAGCACTCCCAGCACAGGAGGACGCCCAAATCTGCTCTCTGAGGAAAGCTCTCCGCCCAGGAAGAGTCCAAGACCATATGCTGTGTGAGGGCAGAGCTGTGAAAAGTCACCACCTTGGCCGCACCGCCAACCCCGGCTCTGGGTCCCCCAGGACAGCCACAGCTGGACTGTCTGGGCCACGAAGAGCCACAGCCCACAGCAGCAATGGCGCACTGCCCCCTAGTAGGGAATGGCAAACCCGAACATGCTCCTCCAGCTTGCACACAGGCTGCCCGACCAGGGGGACCGGCTCAGTCTGGGGGCCCCTGCTCTGGTCGCACCCGCTGCGGAGGTGGCACGTGGCCCTCCACCCTCCACGCCCCGC